GAGCGGCTGGGGGCGTACGGGGTGCGAGCCCGCGGGCAGGGCTGTGCCCTGGTGCAGGGGGGTACAGCCCGGGGTCCCTGTCCCCATGTGGTGCCCACTCAGTGGCTCTAACCCTCCTGCGTCACCGCAGGTGACCCTGCGCTATAACGTGCCACCCCCTCCGAGCACGGGGATGTTTGACCTCCGCGTGGAGACGGAGCCTGGGGAGTGCACGGGGGACGCCAGCGCCCGCTTCCGCCTCCTCCTCAGGGCACGGTAGGGGCTGGGGCTGCCCCCCGGGTTTTTGGGGGGGCCAGGAGCAGCCAAAGAGGGAGGGCAGACCCTAACCCCACTCCGGGACTCTGCCCTTGCAGGTACACCGGGGAGCGTCCCGCCACCAACATGGTTGTCATCGAGGCCAAGCTGCCGTCTGGCTACATCCCGGACAAGAGCTCCATGGTGGAGGTGAGAAGCCCTCGCTGTCCCCAGGACCTCCTCTGCCCCACTGGGGCACCCACCCTGCCACTGAGTCCCTGCCCCTCGGGGGCAGTGGGGCATGGAGGGGCACCCACTGGGGGTGCTGGTCCTGGCTGGGGCACCCACCGAGCAGCTGTTACCCATCCTGAGCTGTGTCTCTCCAGCTGAAGAGGCAGAAGCTGGTGAAGAAGGTGGAGGTGCAGCCCGACCAGGTGACGATTTACCTGGACCAGGTGAGATGGGGCACGGGGACAGGAGCAGGACCCCACGTGCTGGGGCGTGGGGATGCTTCCCCATCGTGGATGGTTGCACCTCAGCCTTGGGCCGTCTCCACAGCTGACGAAGGAGGAGGAGACCTTTGCCTTCACCGCCACGCAGGACTTCCCGGTGAAGAACCTCCAGCCGGCCACCGTGACACTGTACGACTACTACGAGACGGGTAAGCCCCGTTGGGGACATGGCCCCGGTGTTCCTGGCCCCGCTGCCACCCCTTGCAATCCCAATGGCTCAGAGAAGGTCTGGCTGAGCTTTCAGTTCACATTGATGAGCTTTGGCTCGTTAACGGGAGCAGCTCATCCTGAGCCCATTGGTCGCCATCCTTTCCATTGCAGATGACCGCACGGATGCTGCCTACAGTGCACCTTGCAGCTCAGGTAGGGGCTGAGCCTGACAGGGCAGAGGGGTCACCCCACCATCGGCACCCTGACGGGGTCCCACTGACCCTGAAGGGCCAATCTGGGCTGTGCTGAGCCCCTGGACCCGGGGGAAGGAGGGCAGTGAGCAGGGATGGAGGAGCCCAGCCAGGAGCCTGGAGTCCTGAATTGATCGATGGGGACTTGCTGGCCAGAGCCTGGGGGGGCTAGAGGTCAGGGAGGACCCAGGCGACCAGGTTGTGGGGTGCAGAGAGGAGCTGTGCCTCTTTGAGGGGGCTCAGACCCCCATCAGCCCTGGCCTTCCTCCTGTGCACCTTATGGAGCTCCCCATCCACAGGTTTGGGATCACACAGGGAATGAGACAGAGCTCCCAGGGATGGAGCTCAGCTGGAGGGACAGGGGCGGCGGGGCTCTCCTGTCACAGCACACCCGTTCTTGATTTTGAAGAGGCTGACGGTCAGGAGCAGGAAAACTTCTAGCACAGCCTGAAGCCTGGCAGCTGGTCCCCTCCGCTCGCCCCGAGACCCTCAGCCACCGAGGACCGGGACAGCCAACAGTCTCTGCTCCCACCCTGGCCACAGCCCCGACCCTCCACGGGGGCAGAATGTGGCCCAGAGATGCTCACAGCACCGCCAGCACCCAGCATGGCACGGCTCGCTCTGAACTCAGCCACTTCTCCCTGTAGCGCAGCT